ACTTTGGGGTTACAAGCAATATGGTGAAGAAAATGAAAAGACAACCCACAGAGTGGGAGAAAATATTGGCAAATCATATGTCTGATGATGGACTTGCATCCTGCCTATAAAAGACATTTAAAATTCAAAAATAAAAGACAGGTAACCTAATTTAAAAAATGAACTAAGGATCCGAATAGACATTTTCCCAAATATGTACACATGAACAATAAGCACGTGAAAATATGCTTAATATTATTAATCACCAGGGAAAATGGAAATCAAAACCACAGGGAGATACCACTTCACACCTGCTAGGAAGGCACTCAGAAAAATGAATAGATGGTATCAACTGCTGGTGAAGATTGGGAGAAATTAGAACCCTCACACTTCACTGGTGGGAATGAAAATGGCGCAACCACTATGGAAACAATCCGACAGTTTCCCAGAAGGTTAAACAGTAACCAAAGTGATCCAACAATTCTACTCTTAGATGTACACAAAGACATATGTCTACACAAAAATCCTATATGAATATTCATAGCAGCATTATTCCCAAGAACCCCAAAATGGAAACAACCCAAATGTCCATTAACTGATGCATGGATGAGCAAAAATGTAGTATATCCATAGGATGGAATATTATTTGGCCATACTATGGAGAGAATAGAATATTAATATACACTCCAGAATGGATGAACTTCAAACACATTATGCTGAATGAAAGGAACCGGTCACAAAGGGCCATGTATCATGTGATTTCTATGAACTGTGTAGAGCAGGCAAATTTTTAGATGCAGAACACAGATTAGTGTACACCTAAGGATGGGGCAGTGAGGAAGTGGGGAGTGATTGTGATGGGGTTTCCTTTTGGGGTGATGGAAATGTTCTAACATGGATTGTAGTGATGGTTGTCTACTCTGTGTATAAATACTGTTGAATTATACATGTTAAGCGGGTTCACTGTATGGTAAGTAAAAACCATAGCCTAGTTCTGGTAATGTCTGCCCCCTCCCTCTTGGGCTCTGCATCTCAACGTCCAGGCTGCCTCACTGGACAGAGATGCTCTGTTGACTGAGGAGCATGGCAGCACCAGATACCTAGCCCTAGCCACCGTCTGCCTACAAGTTCATGAGTGACCCCTAGCAAGAGTGACAGAGGAACTGCCAGCTGAGCCCCAGGTAACCCACAGAATACTTAGATACAATGAAATGATGGTTGTTTAAAAGCCACCAGCTTTAAGGATAGCTTGCTACATAGCGAAACACAGTAACAAGTAGTCAGTCTTGCCTTAACTCTATGACCACACATTAGTACCAAAGTCAAGTCCCGTGAAAGCGTTTTTCTTAGAGAGGAGCCTGTATAGGGACATTATTTGATTTTAAGAAGAAATGAAATGAGGAAGGACTAAGGCTGGTGGGGGCATGTTTTACATGGCAAGCTGCGTCAGTGCAAGCAGGCCTGCCAGCTGGTCTCTTTCCTGAAGCTCACATTGGCAATGGCGGCTAGCCAGCCACTTGTCCAGAGGCCACCAGTGACTTAGCTGGAGCTCTAGAGGTCTGGCAGGTCATGTTTCTGGTTACAAGAAGTGACATAAGTAAACCCTATCCACTTGTCCTCCCCACACCCAAAAGGAAAATCACTGAGCTAGAAGGGACAGAGTGTTATAAAGAGAGATAAAAGCCAGGTGGGTCCATCTATGTCTTAAATGGAGACTATCAACAGGGAAGGAATTCTAGATTCCCAATCCTGCTCTCGGCCATGACTTCCATATAACAGGACTCTGAAAATTCTGCTGGGAAGCCTGGAGGGAGTGCCAAGGAGTTTCCCTTGTCATTTCATAGCTATTGGGCACAAATCCATCCTGCTCTGGGATAGACACCATGATTGATTAAGTAGTGTAACATATTGTATCTACCTCATCTTTTGAACTGTAGATCTGTTTCATTCATACTCAGGGATGATTTCCCCAATCATGGATGAAAATGGCATTATACTCCTGAGAAAAAGGAGGCTGAAACAAAGAAAAGTGGCTTGTTTTATATCTCACAGCCAAGTGGTCTATTCCAAATAAACTTAAGTCTTCAAATTCCTAGCTCAGCATCCTTTCCACAGCAGAATTGGCTTCTAAGTCTGAAAGCACTGAAAAAGCACATACTGTGAATGGACCTTCAGGTGTGGAGGTTCAATTACCCCAAATGAAATGATTAATAAATATGTATAACTTGCTTCTTGGCATGACTCTGAGCAAGTTTTCTACTGGCAACATTAAGTGCAATCATTTAATTTTTTCTCATATGGATGAGAATTAGATTCTGGAAATTCAGATATGATTGACATATAATGTTGTGTTAGAGACTGACATTTTTCTCATGTGGATGAAGAGGGGGTTGGATTTCTGTGATCGCTAAGGTTTTGTCCTGCTCTAGAGTGAAATGGTACAACTTGTGTTGCATATTCTTGTTAGTTTGAAAAGAAAATAAGGGTTTTTAAAAGAAAGAAACTTTCATGCAGGAGATAGGAACTTATTAGGAATCGTTCTAAAAGAGGAAGATGACACAATGGTTTTGGTATTTTATGGGATTCAGTTTTCCATTGAACAAAGTTTTGTGGGTAAACGTGGTCCATAACCTAGTGGAGCTTATGAGTGAGTAGAGACAGTAATCTTTAATCTGATAATGACAGACTGTACAGGGAGCAATGAGATGGCCTAATGGAGACCCAAGGATAGCTGAGATAACAAAGGATAAGGAGTCAAATAGTCTTAAGGAGTAGAAGAGTGGAAAGGTGGGGGAGACCATTCCAGCTGCAAGAATAACATATTCAAAGGCCCTGTGGCAGATGATGTATGATATATTGAAGAGGTATAAGAAGACCATCTCTGAAGCACAATGAGGTCAGAAGTGAAGATGGTCCTAAAGGGATAAAGGGAAAGATCATGCATGCATTAGAGGCCATATAAAGGATTTCAGTGTTTAGCCTCAAAGCAACCAGAAACTACTAAATTGTATTTTGATCAAGAGTAGGAACATTGAAACATTTTCAGGTTTGAGTTTGAAAAAGATAAATTTAATTGCTGTGTCTGAACTTAGATGCTTGAGGTTGGGTTGCAAACAGGAGGGCATGCATAGTAAAGTCTGATGAAGAAACCATTGTAATTGGGTTAATGGTGTTAGTGTTATGGACTAAAGTAGTGACAGCATTGGAGAGGGGAAGGCCTAGATCTATGAGTATGATTTGGGATATAAAATTCACAATTCATATGACTGCCTGGATGTGGGGAAATGAGGAACATGGAGGCATTGAGGATACTGCCTTGTTTTCTGGCAGGATGATGGAAGCACTCACTGGCACAGGACCAGGTTTAGAGGAAGAACCCGGGTTCAGGTCTGGGTTTGTTGATGTTGAGGTCTTTGAGATGTCTGTGTGGATCCAAAGGTCCGGAGTTGGGAATATAGGCCTGATCCAGGAACATAATGTTGGGAATCTTTCGGACATGGATGGCAATTGAAGCCAGGAGGTTGAATGAACTTCCCTGAGAGACTGAGCAATAAGAAAAGAGGTATTTGGGGTACAGAATCTAAAGAGATTCCAGCCTTTAAAGTCCAGGGAGATGAGCAGGAGCCAATACAAAGATAACTGAGAAGGAGGTAGGAAGAGAGGGACAAGAGGGAAAGCAGGACACGGTAATGCTCCTCCGCGAGAGGGAAATGTTCAGTAGCATCTAATGCTATTAACACCAGCCCAAATGGGGATCTTCAAAATGCCCATCGTATATGGATGCAAGGGAGAATACTCCAGCCCCCGTAGGAGTTTTTCGGGAGGTGTGGTGAGGACAAAAGCGAGGGCAGTTGGAGAACGCCGAAGAAGAAGGCGTGAGAAACAAGTTCTGTGGGAACGGGGGTGTTGTGAAGGAGTGGTTTACGTCAGCGCAGGCTGCTGGAACAAATGCCACAGACTGGGTGGCTTAAACAATAAACTCTTATTTCTCACAGCTGGGAGGCCGGGAAGTCCAAGATCAAGGCACCGCATAGATCTGGGGTCTAGTGAGAGCCCTCTCCTTGGTGTGCAGTCTTCTCATGTCCTCGTCAAGAAAGAGGAGAAGGGAGTTGAGGGAAATTGGAAGGGGAGGTGAACCATGAGAGACTATGGACTCTGAAAAACAATCTGAGGGTTTTGAAGGGGCAGGGGGTGGGAGGTTGGGGGATCCAGGTGGTGGGTATTGGAGAGGGCACGGATGGCATGGAGCACTGGGTGTGGTGCAAAAATAATGAATACTGTTACGCTGAAAAAATAAAAAATTAATTAAAAAAAAAAGAAAAAGAAAGAAGGCAGAACCAAGATCTCTGTCTCTTCTTGCAAGGGCAGTAATCCTATCATGGGAGGCTTTATCCTCATGAAATAATCCCCCCAAAGGTCTCTGCTCCAATACCATCACACTGGACATCAACATTTCAGTATATGAATTTTGAGGGGACACAAGTATTCAACCTGTAATAGTTGTCTTGTAAGTCCAGTGGTTTGGGAAACTGAATAACTCCTTGCGGAAAGAAATACTAACCTTTTTAGAAAGGCTGGGTCCATAAATTGCCCTTTTCAAGGTACCTAAATGGAATGCAGTCTGCTACTGTGGGTTTTGGATTACATTTCCAGGGTTTTGTTTTTCTTTTTTTCTTTTTATTTCTTTTTTTTTCTTTTTTCCTATTCTTGTCTCTTCTTTTCTCTTCTCTTCTCTCCTGAATTTACAACAATCAAGAGTTGTGTGCCCTATCGAAAGAGCCAGCCAGGCACCCACCAGTTTTTGTTTTGTTTTCCTTTTCTCTCAATTACCAGGAGAAAACGCATCTTGTTCACTCCTGAAGCAGGTCCTTCTGTTAGAAATGACATGTGTAACAGCACGTGATGGCCACATCTGTCTAACAACCTGGCTGTGAGACTTCGCAGACACCTAGGATGTAGGATTTCAAAGGAGCAATTTTCCCTCCCTGTAGGCTTATTTTTCTTCCCTTCCTTCCTCCCAGGCTGATGAGCCCTGAAAACACGCTGCTGCAACCCAGGGAAGAGGAAGGGGTCAAGTATGAGCGCACCTTCATGGCGTCGGAGTTCCTGGACTGGCTGGTCCAGGAAGGCGAGGCCACCACAAGGAAGGAGGCCGAGCAGCTCTGCCACCGGCTCATGGAGCACGGCATCATACAACATGGTGAGTGTGTGGGTCGGCTTCCACCGAGGTCACAGATGATCCTAAAATCATGTGGCTTACAACGGCACATGTGTGTTTCTCACTCAGGGGTTTGTTGTTCCTCTGTACGGGCCTGGGCTCAGCTTAGCCTGTCTCCAAACTGGGCTCAGGTTCAGCTGGGCTGGCTGTGCGTTCTCGTGCTGGGACCCAGGCTAAAGGAACATTTACTCCCTGGGATATATTGTTTTTATAGATGAGGCCGGAAGCTTAAAGAGGACAGGTGGATCCTTACAGCATCTCCAAAAACTTCTGTTCGGATGCTATGTAACATCCTCAGCACCCGTAACCGATTGGCTAGAGCAAGTCCCCGGGTCCAGTCCAGATGGGAAGTAGATGTTTCTCACCAAGTTGGGTGCAAGGGGAGGGTACCATTTGCTGAACCACGGTACAAACCACCACAGTGAAGGATTCATCCAAAAGACCTCATAAGAGTTTGACTTTCCTTTTAGGGCTGACTCATAATGATGATGGCATAACCTATTGGTTAGGAACGACATTAGTTATCTATTGCTGCCTCAGAAATTACCCCAGACATTAAAGCTATAAAGCAATAATAAATATTTATTACCTCCCGCCAGTTTCTGTGGGTCAGCAGGTTAGGAGAAGCTTAGCTGGGTGGTTCTGGGGTGGCGTCTCTCATGAGATTGCAAAGATGTCAGTCGAGGGCTACCATCGTCTGAAGGCCTGGCCGGCTACAGGATTGGCTTCCACAGGTAGCCCTGTGTGTGCCTCACAAGTTGGTGCTGGACGTTGGCAGAAAGCTTCCGTCCAGTGCTGTCTGGACTTCTTCATAAGGCTGCTAGAGAGTTCTTAGGCTTAGGACATGGTGACCTGGCCATTCTTGAGGAGGGAGAATCTAAGAGGATGCAAGACAGAAACTGCCGTATCTTCTAAGTGAGCCCTGGAAATCACACACTGTCATTTCCTCAGGACTCCACTGGTGACCAGGTTGACCCTATTCGGTGAGAGAGGACTATACAAGGGTGGGAGTACCAGGAGGCAAGGACCACCAGAGCCATCCCAGAGGCTGGCTGTTGCAAGAACGAAGGCTCTGGAATCCCAACTCCACCAGTTATAGCTATTTGCCTTCTCTCATCTCTAAAATGGGAATATCTACACAGGATGTTGTAAGAATAAATGTGGCTGATGTAAACCACTCAGTTCAATGCCCTGATCTTAATAAGTGCTCAGTGTATTAACACAGCTGCAAGGTGTAGGCTCTGAGCAGCGAGGAAGGGGCTGGGAACCAGGTAAACACATCAGCCTAAAAGTTAATAGGAAAGGTCATACTTGAGTCATTCTTTTATTATTATTATTATTATTATTATTATCATTATTATTTATTTATTTGTCAGAGAAGAGAGCACACACACAAGCAGGAGAAGTGGCAGGCAGAGGGAGAAGCAGGCTCCTGGCTGAGTAGGGAGCCCAGTGTGGGACTCCATCCTGGGATGCTGGGATCATGACCTGAGCTGAAGGCATATGTTTAACTGACTGAGCCACCCAGGCACCCCTACTTGAGTCATTCTGACTGTGAATTCCCCTATCCCTACTTCCACACAGGCCTGAGACTTCTATCCCAAGGTTAGAAAGATAATAATGGAATTATAGAGGTGAAAGACTCAGAATTATTTGGAGCAGTGTTTCACAGCTGCAGATTGTAACCTTTTAGTGGGCTGTGAAATCAATTTAGAGAGCCATTCCCAGCATGACTACTCCCCAAAGTATGGGCCAGGGACTGTACAGTGTCACCATGGGAGCATGAAAGAAATACAGAATCTCTGATCCTACCAATTTCTGCTGAGTCTAATCTACATTTTAGCATGACCCCCACGTGGTTTGAATGCACATCAAAGCTTGAGATGCACTGGACTGGATTTAACTAGGACACACGAGAGCTGTTTGCATGAAGGGGGAGTGATATTCGACAGGTTGTTTATTTTTTAATGAAATAAAAAGTACATTTTTGTGAACCAAAAAAAAAATCAGAAGCATAGTCTATGTAATATCATTAAGTACTGTTTTGTAAAACTTTGATTTCAATGAGATAATGATACAAACATTGGACATAGTCAAGTGTGTATTGATTTTGCCACATACACATCATTACTGTGTGCTGGGGTCAAGTATTTTGAAACACATTGGCACAGAGGCTGTGGTCAAAGAGGCCCTCAAGCCTCTCACTATATTCCAGGGGGTTTCTCCTCAGTAACCCTGCCAGGACTACAACCATTTACTGATGGCCTCCTATGTCAGCTACTGTGCTAAGCTCATTGCAGGTGGGAAGTTGGGTAGAAAGTAGGGTGCCAGTGTGGTCTCCAGCCTTAGACATCTTAGAGTCTTGTTGGGACTCAAATATGGATATAGAAGCAATTAGTGAACAGAGGAAGTACTGTACATTTCATTTATTTCTTTTTTACCTTGTGGCAGGCACCATTCTAATGATTTCACCAATACTGGCTTATTTAAACCTCTTAAACTCTTTGAGGCAGATATGTTTTGGTTTTGTTTTTGTCTTTGTTTTTGTTTTTTAGGATTTTATTTATTTATTTGACAGAGAGAGAGAGCACAAGCAGGGGGAGTAGCAGGCAGAGAGAGAGAAGCAGTTTTCCCCACTGAGCAAGGAACCCGATGCGGGGCTCGATCCCAGAATGCTGGGATCATGACCTAAGCCAAAGGCAGACACCTAACTGACTGAGCCACCCAGGTGCCCCAAGACAGATATGTTTTTTGTTGTTATGGTTAAATTTATTTTATTGTGGTAAGAACACCTACCGTGAGGTCATTCTTCTTAACAAACTTCTAAGTGTCCAATATAGGATTGTTGACGTTAGGGCAGGTGTTATCATCATTGTTTTACAGAAAAGGAAACCAAGGCCCCAGCAGGCTAAAGATTTCATCTGAGGCCACTCGGGTAGTAACATCCAAAAGGATATTTGCTAATAAGTGTGAACTCAGAGTTGGTTGGAGTGTGGGGCTATCCACAGTGAAAAATGGTGTATTTGGGTTAGAGTTAGTGCTGTTGTCTTTGCTATAGACGGAAAACTTGGTGATACCACGCGCCAGAGAAAACTAGCCTCTTACACTGCAGTTTAGTGACTGATACTGTAACATCTTCAGAGAGAAGAGAGAGGGTGCCAGGAATTGTTTCCAAATGATTTCCCAAGAGCTTGTAATTATACATCAACTACATTGACTTTTGTAATGCTATCAGCATGAAGTTGCAATGTAAAGGGTAAAAGAAGGCATTACCGAGAGCAAATATTAACCCCAGAAGTTTGCTTTCTGGAGTTTCAGGAGGATTGAATATTCTTTATCTGGAGACGTCAGAGTTTCCAAGGGAGCCCAGTTTCCCGGTCCAGCAATCCATTGCTAGATAACAGATTCCACATTTGAGTAATGAAAATATGGCCACCTTGTATGTGTCTGTTAGAGCTAATGACAAATGCCAGTTAGTGTCTTACGCAAAGCACTGCGTTCTCTAGCTAATAATTAACTTCACAGTTGAACCATTAAAGAAAGAACGGACATTAGGCTTTGAGCGGAAGGTTTCTGGATAAATGTGATTCCCTAGACTGAAACCAACAGACAAAAAAAATCAGGCCCGCCATGAAGTCCTAACTAGCTTCATTTATGAATGGTGGATAGTGTGTTCTGTAATCAAGACAGAACCTGGAGATGAATCATTAACTTACAAGCCTATGTGTGTGTGCGTGTATGTGTGTCTGTGTGTTTATTCACATACCCATGCATATATGTATATGTTGATACGAATGTACGTATGTTGACCACATATGTACATATTTCTCCAGCTTTTTTGTTTATCAAGGCTTACTGTATACCAGGTACTGGACTAAATACAGGTTTTAATATATTGTATATATATTTTTAAGATTTTATTTATTTATTTGACAGACAGAGATCATAAGTAGGCAGAAAGGCAGGCCGAGAGAGAGGGGGAAGCAGGCTCCCTGCTGAGCAGAGAGCCCCATGCGGGGCTTGATCCCAGGACCCCGGGATCATGACCTGAGCCGAAGGCAGAGGCTTAACCCACTGAGCCACCCAGGCGCCACTATACTGTGTATTTAATGTGTGTATGTGTCACATATACAAGATATATATATATAATCTTATTACGTTTTCACAGCAACTCTGTGACATTGTATCATTCTTACTCTTCCAGTTTTACAGTGAAGAATTCAGAAGTGTAAAGCCTTTAAGCTCTTTTCCCAACGGCGCATAGCTAACCAGTAACTACTAGGTGTTGTGCCTTAGACATTTTCCTTGGCCCAGGATGTATGCACCTGGGTGTGGCCACCTGATACAGTGGCATGAACCTTGTCTCGGGAGACAGACAAGATCAGGTCCCAGCTTTTCCACCTACTGAGTGACCCTGTCAACATCTCAAGTCTTTCATTCCTGAGGCTTTTAGATTTATGAAATTAGAGTCACGTTATCCACCTTTGAGAGTTACTTACTCGCTCTGTGGGGAAGATCATATCAACTTACACGTGAACTGGAAGGATTCAACATAAAGTCAGCCTCACGGCTAAGATGTATTATGGTGAAAGGACACAGAGAAGGATCACTGCGGGGAAAGACACCTCAGGTGCTGCCTGGAGAAGCCCAGCACAGGATTTCTCTGTCCTCCCTCCTAGAACCATGCAGATCTGGCTCCTTCGTCTAGCAAGGACTTGCCGTAACACATGGGCAATACCTCTGTCCCGCCGGAGCCCACTCGAGACTCAAGTACAAGGTTTTCGCTGGGGGCTGCTCATGGAGGGGCACTCTGCCTGCGTGGCCCGGCACAACTACCCACACTGCAGACTCTCAGAAGGAAAGCACGTGTTCTCCGTAAATCACAGAGTTTGTACAAACAATCTAGGCAGGCTGGTACAGCAGTGTGCAGTGTGCCAAGTGTTTAAAATTGCCTTATCAGTCAGTAACTTCGGGAACTTTCC